TTACAGAAACCTTCTGTTCATTCTCAGTAACTATAGTCAGAGTGTTTTACATTTCTTCCTCTCTATTCTTGGCAACCTAATCTCCTAAAATTCAGATGTATTCACACCAAATCCCCATTTGAAAAACCCAAATGACTCTCAAGCCATTTAAAACAAAGCCCCAAGTCCTTAGTGAGGCAGATAGGGCTAAGTCCTGGTGAACCCAATCCCCTCACCATCTGTCACTGAGTGATGCCTAAGACCCGTTTGTCCTCTCTTTTCTCAACTCCATCTAAAAAGCTTTTTCTGCTTCTGCACTTCCGTGGTTTCCCTACTCTTTACACTGAGTCACTCTAGTGACATCCTGCTGGCAGAATGTTTCTCACACCATTGAGTTCTGTGTCCTTCATCTGTATTCTCCTTATATAACATGTAATAAAAAAAGAGTAGTTAGGTGTGTCCCCCAATCTGTCTAGAATAGTTTAAGCTTGGTTATCTGAGCTTTGGACTGGGTGTTCCTATGGAAAGTGTGTGGAGAGCAGAGGAAACCTTGAGTGAAGGTGTAAGAGGTAGATGAATTCCCAGTGAATGCATACTATTATCAAGGGCCAGTACTGTGACTTAGACCCATGGGAGTTGGTAAAGCCTTCCTCAGGCCAGGATAAGGGAGTAGGTAAAGCCTTCCTCTGGTCTGTGTGTGGATATTGAGTGTACATCAAAAACCCACAGAGATTCTGGGTTGCTGGTGTAGGTGGTGCTGCTCCATCAGAGCAAGCATGAACCAGATGATTGCCACTCTTCTGTAAGCGTTTCTATGTGTCTGTCTGTTCTTTAGTCCCTCTTTACTAACCTGACTGTGCTGGGTGTGTCAAAGAGTTTTTGTGTTTGTCTCAGAGTCACTCTCTGAGTACAATGTTAGACAGTACCTATCTACCAAGCACATTTTTGTTTTGGCTAAATAAATATAAATGAATGATAGATAATTGATATTTTCCTGTAGACAGAGGTACTGTATATAGTATTTAATAAGCAGAAGCACACAGGTGGGCCCCACATTTGCATCACTGCTGGGGATGTGAACTGAGGTCCTCATGCTCACACAGCAAGCACTCTACCCATTGCTCATCCCTGTGTGAGGCTTTTCTACAGCTTCTAGATGAGGGTCCTATTTGATGTTGAATTCTCCAAAGTTGAGCATGATTTCTGGGTCTGAAAGACAGTTATAACTAATCTGAGAAGCATGAACAATGATTAGTAAATAATATGGTTGAAACCATTTGTAGTCTAGGGATATGAACACATTATTCCAGAATTATTGTATACTACTCTCCTTGCTTGCACCTAGGATAAGCCAAAATCTTTTATTTCCAGTTGATAAATATTTTTCTTTTAAAATTGCTTTAATTATTATTGTAAATAGATACCAATCCCAGTTCCCTCTCCCTTTTGCCCTCCCATTCCTCATAGCATCTCCCCACTTCCCCAGCCATTCCTCAGAGAGGGTGAGGCCTCCCATGGGGGAATCATCGAAGTCTGTCATATCACTTGGGGCAGGACTGAGCGCCCCCCCACCCCCCGCCCTGCCCTGTATCTAGGCTGAAAGAGTATCCCTCCATGGGGAATGAGCTCCAAAAAGTCAGTTCATGTGCTAGGGATAAATACTGATTCCGCTGTCAGTGGACCTATAGACTGCCCAAGTCCCTCAACTGACAGCCATGTTGAGAGGGCCTGGTTTGGTCTTATGCAGGTTCCCCAGCTGTCAGTCTGGAGTCCCCGTGCTCCCACTTGCTCAAGTCCGCTGTTTCTGTGGGTTTCCTCAGCGTGGTCTTGACCCCTTTGCTCATCACTCCTCCCTCTCTACAACTGGATTCCGGGAGTTTGGCCCAGTGCTTAGCTGTGAATCTCTGCTTCTGCTACTGGATTAAGGTAGTCATCAATCTGTTTGGAGGGAAAAGGGCATTTAAGGTAGCTTCTTCACTATTGCTTAGCTTAGTTGGGGTCATCCTTGTGGATTCCTGGGAATTTCCCTAGTGCCAGGTTTCTTGCTAAGCCCATAAAGACTCCCTCTACCAAGGTATCACTTTCCTTGCTCTTCTTCTTTGTTCTTCCCCCAGCTCCACCTTCCCGATTCCTCAAGCTCTCCTCCCCTCCCCCTCCTCCCTTTTCTTTCTCCAACTTCGCTCCTTCCTTCCTCCCCCATGCTTCCAATTTACTCAGGAGATCATGTCCCTTTCCCCTTCTTTGGGGTCCATGTATGTCTCTCTTAGGGTCCTCCTTGTTTCCTAGCTTCTCTGGAGTTATGGACTATCGGCTGGTTATCCTTTGTTTTATGTCTAATATCCACTTATGAGTGAGTACATACTGTATTTGTCTTTCTGTGACTGGGTTACATCACTCAGGATGGTTTCTTCTAGTTCCATCCATTTGCCTGCAAATTTCAATATGTCATTTGTTTTTACCACTGAATAATACTCCATTGTGTATATGAACCACATTTTCTTTATCCATTCATTAGTTGAGTGGCATCTAGGTTGCTTTCAGGCTCAAGCCAAAACCTTTTTTTATATCAGCAAGGAGAAATTATATATGTTTTCCTAATGGTTTCCATTTAAACCCTTGTAAAAAACCATAGGAACATGATATATTTAATAGTACTTTTACATATGTATGAGGAGACCAGGAATGCTGTGTTAAGCAATATTTGAGTGAAGATGGACAGTTTCCTATTCATTTATTCTATTCCTATTCTGTACAATTTACAGATCCCAGTGACTAGAATGATGTCATGATTTCAATCTGCAGTGTACCCCAAAGGGTCATATTTTGAAAACTTGCTGCTCTGTTGTGACACTCTTTTATAGAGTCCTTAGGAAGTACCTTTATGTGAAAGAAGTGGAGTGCTAGGGGCAGATCTGTGAAGTTATCCCTGCCCCTGGTTGTGAAGCAGCTTTCTTTCTCCTTCCTGGTCCACAGGCATGCCAACCCCCAATACCTCATACTCCCACTGCCTTCGACATGACTGCTCGTGCTGCCATGTTTTTCCCATCATGGTTGGATGAAATTCCCCAAAAATCCTGAACCCTAATAAACATTTCTCTCTTAAGTTATTTCGTCATGTATTTGGTCAGCAAGAAATAAATACTACAGAAAGATATGGATATATGTAAGACCATCACTCTGCTGGCCAAAGGATGTATGAGAGGACAACTGCAGTTGGGCTTTTCTTTGGGCTGCCCACTCACAAAAATGACAAGAGACTTACATTACTTAAGAAAGCTTGGTCTTAGCTTATGCTGGCTTCTAATTAGCTCTAATAACTTAAATTAACCCATAAATTTTAATCTGTGTTCTTCCATGAGCTTGTTATCTTATCTCCATTATGCTCATTCTGGTTATTCTGTGTTTGCTGGTGACTCCGCCTTTCTTTTTCTCAGAGCTCTCTCTGTCCACAAGTCCTCATCTGTGCTTCTTCCTGCCTTGCTAATGGCCATTCTGGTCTCTATTAAACCAATTACAGTGACACATCTTTACGCAGGGTAAAGGAATATCCTACAACAGACGACCACAGAGTCTGAGCAAGGACTGGCACTGTACTTGGGAACACTAGGTAGAGTCTTGTGGTCAGGTCATCTGCACCATAGTTTGGACATGAAGGAGATATTGGGCTCCTGGTTCTGTTGAACCTTTTTGTTTTCACTCAGGTGTATGGTCCCTCCTAGCCTCATATGTTAGACCTAATAATCTGAAGCAGTAAGAATGCTGAGTAAGTTGTATGCATTCCGGACAATAGTGGTTTGCTGAAATGGTCTGTGAACTGATAAATACAGAAGACATTTTGATCTACCTAGAGAATTTTATCAGAGGAAAATTGTTAGCAATGTCTGTGCTCTGTTAAAGTTCTTTTTCTCTTACTGCATCACTACCTCTTTCTTGTCTCGAAAGATCCTCATTCCACACCCACTCATTGTTTTGAACAGTCTTCCTTGGCTTTCCCTTCCTTCAAATATCTAATTCCATCCTTCCGCCACCCCTTCAGTGTTCTTAAAATACAACGTATTTCACCTGCTTGATAAGCCTTGGAAAATATACTCTCCAGCTAGCAGTAGTTATTCACAAATCATAACACTATTGTTAATTTATTCTTCTTAGATGATTTCTATTTTAGATTAAAATTATTTTCACTATTTGGACCCTGTATATTTTATTTCTTAAACAAAATTTAAATTTCTTTACTTATTGTACTTGCATAATTTGTATTTATATTTTGCTGGTTATTGGTCACTTTGAATAATGTTTCCACTTTTACAGTGCATGCAAAAGAATTTCATTTCAACAAAGTAGTTTAAAACCTATTTTTGCTACTCTCTGGGTTTGGTTAATAATCTCCAAGTGTTCATCTTACTTTTACTCATTCTCATTAATATAAGGAAAGTGTAAACATCTGTCTTTAATAATCTGATATAAGAATTGCCCAATTGCTTTGAGGATTTGAGTACAGCTTTTAAAAAATGTGTTTTTCCCCCTCAACAAGGTTGGTATATTCTTAATCATACAGAGATAAAAAGATGTAACAAACTTAATTTTTAACTCATGGTGTAACATTTCTGTTGAGTTTTTTGATAAGAACATAATAATGAATATTATTATGATGTGTATTCCACAAGGGCACATGTGTTTGTCCTGCTTATCACTATATCCTAGGGATGGTTCAGCTACTGTTAGCTGCACTCAGTAAGTAATTGAGCAAATGAATGATAGAGAAGATATTTCACAGCTACTATTATATGTATGTATGTACGTATAAAGAGAATGTTATAAAATATGTTATATAGAGTTTATGCTTCAAATATCTCTAGCAGTTTGAATAGTTCATATTGTTTACTTCATTTATGAATTGATAAATACAGAAGCTATTACATGGGCATCATTTCATAGTGTGTGATTCTCTCCTTATGATGTCACTTCGGTTTTGCTGAAACTTTACAAATGATTGAGATTCTGTTTTTGTTGTCTGTCCTCAGAATGGCTTCACTCCTTTGTATATGGCTGCCCAGGAGAATCACATTGATGTTGTAAAATATTTGCTAGAAAATGGAGCTAATCAGAGCACTGCTACAGAGGTGAGTCTCAGTTTCTGGTTCTTTTGTTTTAAGGTCCATATTGATTATACTAGTTGCAAAGGCTCTCCACTGTTTTGTCTAAAGCATGCTGGGAATGTTCATATTACTATTTTGTAACCCACTGTAATGGCCAGTGAGTTACTTGGGCTTGTGCACATCATCATGAACTTATAACTTCATTTTAGATTCATGATCATGATCAGACATTCTTACTTCCATCACCATTAAGCTTGATTTTTTTTATCTTGCTATAGGTGGAGCCTAAATCAGCCCTAAATTTGCAGTTCTCCTGGGGTTTTAGGAATCCACACCACAAAATCGCACTTCTGTCGATGTGACCTGACTTGATTTTGGGGTTTATAGCAGTCAAAGATTGAATTAGAATTATGTTATCCTTGTTGCTTTTTTTCAATATTTTATTTTAAGATTCAAAGCAACTCCTTGAAGGAAAAATTTCTGACTATCAGAAATAACTTACAGCTATTTGTGTTAGTACAATTTTCTAAGGACTGTGTCACAACAATGTTATTTATGACAAAATGCAAATCATGACACAGGTGTGTGACTGTGATCATGGCAACTCCTGTCAAGAGCATTTGACATTAGAAACAAGCCAATTGGTTTCTGAGAGTTCGTGCACTCAGTAAGTAATTGAGCAAATGAATGATAGAGAAGATATTTCACAGATACTATTATATGTATGTATGTACGTATAAAGAGAATGTTACAAAAATATGTTATATAGAGTTTATGCTTCAAATATCTTATATTGCAGTGTATTTCCAAAAATAGCCCTTAGTGATCACTGCACCAGCAGAGGCCAGGATGTACAGTGGCCTGCCTGCAGAACTCTGGTTATCTAACAAAATACAACACTTTCAAAGGAAACAAAGTGGGATGGGGGTTGAAGCCTAGCCATGAGTATGCCTTACATTTCATTTTAAAACAATATCATTGCATAACTAAGGCAAATTCTTATAAGATTGGAAAATTTATAAACTTGATATCCTGAACCATACCACCTACTCTGATAGTTACCAGGGTTCACATGGACAAACCGTGCACACTCCCTTTTAACTGTACCATTATGTAACAAATAATACTATTGCAGGGATGAATAGCTGATGCTCTAATGCTCTGTCAGGAAATCCCATCTTTGGTGTCATTGGAGTATGTGAGATACACGTAAAGAGCACTTCTGTGCTCATGTGTAGCAATAATGTGAAAAAGTTAATTATGAACCAAGTGCTATACCCACATTAGAAAAAAATCAGGTGATTACAAAATCCTTCCACATGGCAGGGAAGTATATGCACATGAAGAAATACTTAGTTTTAAATTTCTCATAAGGAGAATTAGTATATAAATGATGAAATCAAAACTGCTGAACTTAGCTGTTTGTTCCCCTACAGAGTTCATTGAGGTATTTTAACAAATAGTTACACATTTTCTTAGCCTTCTTCCATGAAATACAGATGAGAATGAATTCTGCATGGTTGGAATCCAGCTTTTAGACCTCCGAAGGGAGATCCCTGTCTGGCCAGCAGCATTTTTTAAATAGAGTTCTTCTCCTTTCCTTCCTCCAGAATTCTGCCAAAATTTAAGGCTACAATCCTTTTACTGGGGTTCTATTTTGTAGGCTGTGTCTCTAAGGAAAAACAAAACAGAACAAAAACAAAGTCCACATGCCATTAATACAGACTGCTGCAGAATGCAAGGAAAAATAAATCCAAATATGCTCAAGATAATGGATGTGTTCTTCATTCATAAACTACCCCGTTCTTAACACTCCCATATACTGCAGCTGTTTGCTATTCTCGACCTTAAGAGACTGTACTCTAGGCCAGGCAGTGGTGGTGTATACATAACCACAGCACTCAAAAGGCAGAGGCAGACGGATCTCAGTGAGTTTGAGTCAGCCTGGTCTACAAAGTGAGTTCTCGGACAGCCAGGACTGCTGTTTCCCACAGGGAAACTCTGCCTCGAAAAACAAAACAAAACAAAACAAAAACAAAAAAAGAGGTACTGCACTCTACTCCTCCACTCTTTTTGCTGTATTTAAAACTCAAACTTAATCAAAAGAGCAGTCAACATATTACTACAGTTCATGCTACATACATGGTATGATGTATGTAGCATGAGAAATATTTTTCCTTAAAAGGCCACAGTTACCACTTAAGCAATTAATGTTGAAAACAAATTGAGTAGTTAGATTTGGGTGAATTACTCTCAACCCTGAAATGACATCTTCAATTGTACAACCTACCACCCTCATTACTGCTGTATGAGGAAGACTTCTAACATTTGCTTGGAAGCCTCATGGAATTAAGGAGTGACACACTTTCCATCTTTCCAAGAGCTAAACAATTTGCTTCTGAAGATGCAAAGATGACTTTCCAAATTCTGTTGCATGGTTTTCTATCTGATTCTGGAGATCATTCTAACTTTGTATTGTCTGTGCTGTCATTTATTGAGCTCTCTCTCTCTCTCTCTCTCTCTCTCTCTCTCTCTCTCTCTGTCTCATGTTGACAAGAGAAGTTGGGTTTTAAATGTTATCTAGCATATACAAATTTATACTGAAATGATCTTAGCAATCTAAAATACAAGTAATTGCAAAATTAATGGCTAATCTAATTTACAGCTTAAAGTCATTAAGTCTGAAGCATCGTAACATAAATGATTTCAATCACTCTATCCACAGTCATTATTACCTTCTCTCAGACAATGAAAAAACATTCATCCCTCTTGCATTGTTGATTAGACACTCAATTTTCTCTATAGATTATCATATTTTCCACTCCCAGTTAGATTTGGTTTCTATTCTTTTCCCTTTATGTTATAGCTAAGTGTTCGTTCTAATTTTTATTTTCCTCTTACAAACACCCATTTGGCCCACTCCTGTAATCAGCAGGCTTGTTAGGATACAGAATGGAAATCAAGAGAGCCATCTAATGAAGCCATTGCACCATAGGGCAAATGCAGAGTCCATTCTGCTTCTGCTCCTCACAGTGATTTTCCTGTCCTGGTTGTCAGTATCACCCACTTCATTATGTAACAAATAATACTATTGCAGGGATGAATAGCTGATGCTCTAAGGCTCTGTCAGGAAATCCCATCTTTGGTGTCATTGGAGTATGTTGTCAGTCTCACCCACTCATGTAAATTATATTCTAGGATGGCTTTACTCCTCTAGCGGTGGCACTCCAGCAGGGACACAACCAGGCAGTGGCCATCCTCTTGGAGAATGACACTAAAGGGAAGGTGAGGCTGCCGGCTCTGCACATTGCGGCTCGGAAAGATGACACCAAGTCTGCCGCCCTCCTGCTTCAGAATGATCATAATGCTGACGTGCAATCCAAGGTAAGAGCTGATATGTCTGTGGAGAGGTCCCCTCCGACTGCAGTATTCTCCTGGGTGATGACCAAGGACCACTCTCTGCTGATAATGCAGAATTCTGGACAGGAAGACACATAATTCATTTCCATGGGTATTTCAGATGGAAGGGGAGTATCCGTTGGGAGACAGTGACAAAAATTCAGGCTAAATGATTTCTTCAGAAGACCAGTTTCCATGTTGAGACATTTAGTTAGACTTCCTGTTTACTCCATTAATTAGAGAGAGTCAGCAAGAATGACTGTTGTGGGATGGAGCTGGCTTTTCTCACTCTGTCTTGTTGGAATAGCATACTCAGTTGCAGCGAACAGATCTACTGTTTCTTTAATCTTGCATTGTTTAACATCTTCCCTCTTTTTCCCACAAAACACTGCTTCAGATGATGGTGAATAGGACAACAGAGGTACAGTATTGCCATTATACCAACATTTACCTTATTTTTATTTATTTTTAGTTTTTATCCTGTTAAAATAAATGCTCACTAATTTATACTAATGGTTAAGGTTCTATTAGTGGGAAACTGTTAGAGAAAAATCCTGTAATTAAGAAAGATTGATAATTCAAATATATTTGATATAGCATATATTATTAAACCAACTATTTAAATAGTTTAAGTCCAGCATGAAATAAAACACTACATTGCTTATGTTTTAGTGAGTGAGCCTTATTCTGAAACTTTTTCAAAGAGATATGAATTTTTCCTCTTAATGAGAAGGCACAGATTTGAGTGTAGGGAAGCAAAAATTGAGGAGGTTTCTCTGTTATTTAGTAGAAGACTTTTTCTGCTTTTTTCTTTACCACATTGTTTATAATCAATAATGGCTCTGCACATCATGAGCAAAGCAATTGCTTTTTTCCTGTAAGTCTTAAAATGCCTGCCATTAAATCATTTTCCTCACATAAAATAGGTCATTGTAAATAAGGACATTAAGTCCAGAAGCCTCTAGTTTGCGTGTGTTTTCTCTCCTTTGTCACAAAATAAACATTATTGAAAGTATGCTATAAAAATTAATCTACACTTAAAGCAAGTGATTGTGTATGAAGGTTGACTTGTTTGGGTGGGGTGTGTCTCTAGAATAATTTTTATTCCTCACTGAGCTGGGAACTTGGATAAATTGCAGACCTGTGAGCATTCATGAGCATTCACAGAAAATGTCATATTTCTCAAATCTTTATTAACACATTCATCCGCTGAGATGCAATTTACTTGACTTATTTGCACTCCTTTCTTTTTGTTTGTTCTTTTTTTGTGCATGACTTTGGGGGTGAGGATACTTCAACTCACCTGCTTGGTGAAATTGTTCAGGACTGGAATCATACAAGTTGATCTTAATTACTAATTTTAGTAACTTTAATTTCTTAGATACTCCTCGTGGAGGGTGTAAACCAGCAGAGAGTTGTACAACAACTCAGAGCCTGAGGCATTATGATCATCAAGGCCAATGAAAAAGCATCAATTAATAATTAATGATAAAACATTATACTTGAATAATTGGGAAATTCTTTTCTAAATTGTAACTTGAATAATTGTTGTATAGCGAAAATTTTCTTGGGGAGACACAGCACACATGTCTACGCACTCCAGACAAGAGTCCACAACAAACCAAAGCACAGATACCACCAAAAGTACAGCTTGGTGAACCAATGAGTTTTATAGGGGTTACTTACAAGAATATGGATGAGGGGTGTTAGTGTCTATGAGAAGTACCACAAAACGACCACCAAACACATATGCAACCATCAAGATCATTTAATTTGAAAGCAAAAATACCTGCATGTAAGGGTGGCAAAATGCTGACCCCAAGAGAAGCTTGGCAGGCTCCTTTTAAGTAAGATTAGGGGATTCCAGGGAGGTGAGGTTAGTCTTGAGTGCTGATTGGTGGATTTAAACACAAAGTTTAAGGATTGCTATAGGATTGGTTGGTGGCTGGCTTACTGGTCAGGGTGGGAGAAGCTATCTTTAGCTATTTCAAGCATGCATAAGGTTGTGGGGTGCTTACAGCTTGGTTGCCCATGAGTTGTCTTTCCAAGAACTGCTTGTTCAGATCCAGTAAATGGAAACTGAGGCCCGCTGCCTGGCAAGCTATCAGGAACTTGTCATGGCATTGTTTTGGCTCCTTGTCTCTCTCAAGGGTATACTTAACAGGAGCAGAAATGACTCAAAGACAGCTGCATCACCAAAGCCTACCCCAACATGGGTGACAACTCACAAAACCTGAGAAACTGGAGCATATTGCACAGCCTGCAGGCATCAGAGCAATCAATAGACTGGAGAGTGTCCTTTACAAGTGACTCTGGTCTATACCTCTTCCAGTAAGCTCAGCTGGTTTTTGTGTCTTCCAGGCCTCTGGTCTGGTCTTCTTTGCAGCTTGGTTTATTTGAGAGGGACCCTCGTCTTGTATTGCTTACTCTGGCAGGAAGGGACCTAGTGGATCTAGTCATGTTCAGGGACTTCCTGAAGCTTTGTTTTTTTTGTTTTTTTTTGTTTTTTGTTTTTTTTGTTTAAATCCTGCTCTTAAGGAGCTCTCCTGCAGGCTGAAATGTTTCAGTCCCCATGTTACAACAGTAATAGACATATACTCAGAATATGTCTGGGTGACAGGAAATATCAAGGTGAAAATAGAAAAAAGATTTGACATTTTATAAAATAATTATGGGTTGTATACTGATCTCCCCCTTAGTTTTGGCATGAATACACCACCTACATGTAGAGTAAAATGATCTTGATCACAATTGTGGAGACTGAATTCACAGTTGCTATTCCTATTGCTGCTTTACAGTTAAAAATTATTGGCAACTTATGTTGCTGAATTCATCTGCAGCCTTCAATTACCTAAGCCACCTAAATGTTTATCTTAGCATTTTGAACACAGTATCACCAAATCCTATACACAAAGTCAATAAAAACTGGTTGTGGCTTATAGAATATTTCTTAAAGCAATAGAGTACACATTGAAATCCATTTATAAGTAAAAGAAAATAAGAAATAACCTGCAAACTGCAGAGAGGATGTACTAGCCACTGAATGCTGTTTCCTTTCAAATATTTTAATTAAGTTATGAAAACTATAGAGCATAATGAAAATTACCAGCTCCTTGAGCAACTCAATAAGGAACCAGCTAATATACATCTATTGGGAAAAACAGCAAAAATATCTAACTATATCTTCATCAGAAAATGAAATGATTTCTTCATTTGATTCTCAGATTTTGTTTTTGAAGCATTTGGGAAATGAGGTATCTTTCTGATATCCACATCATTTCCTTAATGTGGTTATTTTAATCATATTTTATTTTAGTGATAAAATTATATTTAGTTCATATTTGAAATTAGATTCAATTGAACCATTTTTATTTCATATTCATACCGATCCCAAGTATTTTTCATTAAAAATAGTTTCTTCTCTTGTACAATACATTCTGACTACAGTTTCCCCTCCCTCCACTTCTGCCAATTTTCCCCACTTTTCCTCTCCCATGTACCCACTTCTGCTCCAAAAAATAGTTTCTTCTCTTGTACAATACATTCTGACTACAGTTTCCCCTCTCTCCACTTCTGCCAATTTTCCCCACTTCTCCTCTCCCATGTTCCCACTTCTGCTCCGTTTCCCTTCAAAAAAGAGCCAGAGACCACAACCTTCAAGAGACAACAACCCAACATGACAAAACAATGTACACTAAGACAAGGCAAATTCCCTCATAACAAGGCTGGGCAAGACAATCTAATAGGAAGAAAAGTTGTTTAATATTGGTTTCTAAATCTTTTTCATGATATGTCACAGTCTATGCAGTTGTGAAAAGGATAGAAAATCACTGTGGATGCTGTAGAATGAACTAGACATTTTTCCTGAGAAATTTTCACAGTCCTGCAGATAAAATGCCAACCAATGCTCTTTTATAAATAAGATTAATCGGTGGGGGAAGATGACTCAGCAGGGATGCACCACTTGCTGTGCAAACATAAGGACCCCCCAGTTCCAGTTTCCTGAGCCCAAGTAAAAAGGCTGGGTGTGCCACGTGCAAATCTATAACCCTTCTTCTAAGAGGGTGGAAATGTGATTGCTCATTCCTACTGCTCGCCAGCTACTCCAAGTTTTGAGAGACCCTGTCACAAGGGAATAAGCCAGAAAGGGCTTGAGGAGGAGACGTAGCACACCTCCTCTGGCACACACATACAACTATTCATACCTCCACCCCCACACATGGAGATAGAAAAAGAAATGAAAACAAAAAGGCTGCTTTTAAAATGTCTGGATGAAAACATCTATTAGTAAATGTTAATCCTGTGTTTGAAGCTTTATGTGGTTTCATCATATTCTGAGTTTCTCTGATAAGCTAAAGATTTCAAGACACATAGCTTAAATAGACAACTCATCTCATAAATTAAAAATGAAATTTCCAGCCAGTGTAGGGTATTTATTTCTCTCTTATAACACTAAGCCATAGAATTGTATTACAGCGTTTCTTACATGAGTTGCGTTGCTCATGTACTTGGCAGTCGGTTACCCAGTAAGTTTTCTGGTTAGTCAGTGGTGGCTTTCCACAGGGTGAGGCCCATCCCTACCCACCATTTCTCCTTTTCTCTAGAGCGGCTTCACCCCTTTGCACATAGCTGCTCATTATGGAAACGTCAATGTGGCGACTCTTCTTCTAAACCGGGGAGCTGCAGTGGACTTCACAGCCAGGGTATGTGGTAAACACGTGTATTTTAAGAAAGTAAATCTTCCATTAAGGTCTTATATTTAACCCTCTTTTACCATCCTAAAGATTCTGTAGTTTTCACTGTCTTAATCACAGGATAGTATCATAACCCAATAAATAAAACAAGACTCTGGAAGCTGGAGAGATGACTCAGGGGTGAGCCTTTTGTTTTTCTGGTGGGTGTGAGTTTGACTCCCACCCTTGTTGAGTTGCTCACCACCTATAGTTCCAGATCCAGGGACTCAGTGTCCTCTTTTGGACCCTGAGGGCAGAACACTCAAACACATAGAAAATAAGTAAGTCTGCATTAGTAGTTGAGGAGGCTACTTTTGGCATGGCATTGACTGCTACTGCTGTATTATAAAATAATGCAAAAAAAAAAACATGAATGATCAGCTTCTAGTCAGTAGATGACAGTGATGAAATAGCACACACTCTGTAGGGAGTGTTTCTTAAGTGGATACACAAGTGGATGGGTTAACGAATTGAAAATTTATTCTGATGTCTTCCTAAAATACATAGGAAGACAGCGCATGGAATTATGCATGTAATATTCTGCTTCCATTAGAAAAATTCATTTACATGATAGTATAAAATTCACATATGGAATGGATTTTTTAAGCATGATTCATGTTGATACAGTCTTTTACATATTTGGTAAACTGTGACACACAAAATTTTCAGACACATATACATGCCATAATGATGACACCTGATACCTTATAAGACAAAGTAGTCTTGTGTGCACTATTACAGTTCTTGGAATTCTTTGTACAACCCTTGTGTGGTGGCATATATCTATAATCCTAGGACTCTGCAGATCAGCCAGAAGGAGTTCTAGTTTAAGGCTAACCTATGTTATGCGCAAGTTCTAGGCTAGTCTGAGCTATTGTATTAAAATCCTGTTTGGAAAAGAAATTTTTTGTTCTGAAACTATGATGTACTATTTTCCAGTTATTTTTCTCTGTGAATTATTCTGAGGGGGCTTTAAAGAATAATTACCCCTGATATTAATATGCATATTTTTCCATTTTTAAACATATAAAACTTTGAGATCTCAAACTCTACAGTACATGAGTGTTATAAACATATTTCACTGGGCTCAATATTAGAATTTGAGGCTTAGCTTCTGCCACACAGACGTCCTCCTTCTGTGTCTTATCTTGTTTTACATTCAATGTGAATATTGTATTTTTTTGACCAACATGAATTTTTGTTTAACTTTTCATTTTCTAACAATTAGCATCCCATGGTTTATGGGCTTCTTTATTACTTATGATCAAACCTATTGAACCCTAGATACAATGGGTCACGCAGGTCCCAATCCCTTGGTACTCTTTACTAGGAAGTCACGCCCTCATACTGTGTCATATCTAACCTATTGTTTGGTCTTCCCATGATATAGAATGGAATTACTCCCCTGCACGTAGCTTCTAAAAGAGGAAATACCAACATGGTGAAGCTCCTACTGGATCGAGGTGGTCAGATTGATGCCAAAACTAGGGTGAGTATCTTTGCACTTTGAATTTCCTACAGTTCTTAAGCCCTGCTGTCTTTCATTCCATACATTGCAACACTAGCCAGCAAACACAAGCAGTGTATTTTCAAGGAGATTGCTCTGGGGTTTGATTTGAGTCTCACACAATACTCACAGATTTCAACTAATAAAATGAAATTAATATTTGCTCATAGATGCCCAGAGACACAGACTACTAGCCCCTCGTTGTGATAGTTTTTCTTGCTCAGTTTCTGGGAATAAAGATCAAAGATTGCATATCCACAGTTCTCCTTTGGGTAGTCATCAAGAAGGCAGATTGATTGGCACATTTAAGTCTTGAGACTGTGACTTATGCAAAACTGGTTTCATGCATATTGACAGTTTTTGTGCTCCTTAATTAGTTGTGCTATATTCATTGTCACACTGACAGAAAGTCAGCAGACAGTTGGCAAGGTAAACCTTCATCTCAGTAGAAGTGGAGCCCTTCATTCATTTCAAATTTCTAAAGTGGAATTATATCCTAACATCTTAATGCACATATAGTGAATAAACTATGTTAAAAAGACAAGCTGTCTGATCTCAAATCCTGTTTGTGTCATTCATTAAGCTAGATAGTGTTGGCATTTTCTGATCTCAGAATTTAGCTACCAGTACCCCCTAACTTCATAAGGTTACATGAAGCTTAACTAATAGCTATGTTATTTTCCTTAACAAAGTGGAAATACAGCTCAGTTAGTGCAGTGAATGCCTATCTTGCATAAAGCCCTCAGCTAGATGCCCAGCACCACAAATGAGTATGGTGGTACACACCTGTAGCACACTTAAAATACTAACATCCAACATTCAGAAGGTATAGTCAGACAGATCAGAAGTTTAATTTTATCCTTAGCTAGCCTCAGATGCATGAAATTATCTCTTTTTTAGGGTTTTGTTTGTCTCTCGAGACAGGGTTTCTCTGTGTAACAGTCCTGGTTGTCCTGGAACTCGCTTGGTAGACCTGGTTGGCCTTGAACTGCCTGCCTCTGCCTCCCGAGTGCTGGGATTAAAGGCATGAGCCATCACCACCTGGCTGCATTAAATTATCTTTAAAAAGAAAGAAGAAAGGAAGGAAAAGGTGTAAATCAATTACTTAGCCACTCATATTTTTTGTAATAATGCTGATATTATATGCCCTTTTTGCTCAAACATACATTATACATATATATGTATCTATATAGAGTGTTGTATTGTAATATTGGCTTTCTGGAGTAGATTTGGGTACTAAGAGACTTCACAAGAATTTTGAGTAGTTTTGAAATACAAAATTGAGCCAGGCATAGTCTTGTACACCTGTATTCCCAATATGATTATGTACACCTGTAATCCTAGTACTCTGACAGAAGAGAGTAAAAGGATTGTAATTCTGAGGTCAGCCTGGGCCACAGTGTGAGTTTGAGGTCAGCCTGGATTATGTAGAGAGACCCTGTCTCAACAACAAACAGAAGAACCTCCTACAAAAAACCCTATTTCATTTAGAGATAGAATCTTCTATATATGAGAAGGAATCTTCTATATATGAGAGGAAAATAACATAGCTATGAGTTAAGCCTCATACAACCTTATGAAATCTAAGACTATGGTCATGGAAACAAGGCCCGTGTAACAACAACATCAGGTGACATGCCAGTACAGTTGGGGGAATCTGGATGGGTGCTACATGTAGGTGAAAAACTGCAGGCAATTAATTGCTGTTGGAAGAGGGGCAATAAGCCTTCCCCAGAGACAAGCCCCTGGTAATATCCAATCCCAAGAGGTAAGCCCTCAACACAGACGCACATGAACTATTCCAAACAGATTCAGCAGTGGTGTGTGTGTGTGTGTGTGTGTGTGTGTGTGTGTGTGTGTGTGTGTGTGTGTGTAGCAATAATAAAGACGAGGTCATGAGTGTGAGGGAGTGGTCACAGGAAGAGTTGAAGTGGCAAAAGGGGTGGGCTGAAATATAGCAGGCATTTAGGAAATTGTCAAAAAAAGTCAAGCTAAAAACTCTTTAAAACAAAACAAAAAACCCTGTCAACTAAACAAGCAAGCAAGAAAAAAAAAAGAAAGAAAGAAAAGAAAAGAAAAGAAAAGAAAAGAAAAGAAAGAAATCCCTGGTAAATTATGTGTGAACAACAAAGTCTATTGAAAAGGGTAGATAGAACATGTATTTGCTCCATGCATTTTTACATTTTAGGACTCCATATTCTCCAGACTAAACAGTAAGGGTCAAATCCAGGCCACTTACCCGCCTTGAAGCTAGCAATTGTTTAGCTTTTAGAATCTGTACCAGTCGAACACTACAAGTTGTTTTCTTTCATTAGCTCCAGAAATGGTGCTGAAACCAACCATAACAAACAAGCAAAACCCCCACCTCATTTCTCTTATAACACTGTTCCAGGGCAGCAGTATCATGCCATATGGGAGTTTGGGAATTGTTTTTCTGTCTGTCCAGAGTGTTGTACCTTTTCCTTGTGTAGTTTTGCCTGGCTTCAACCTTTGCCTTGTAACCCGGGACCTTCTCCTGCTGTGATGTGGGTAGGAAACTGGGGGCAATCTGAGAACCTGAGGATGCTCAGGCTTTGTCTGCTGCCTGCATTGCTGTCATTATTCTTCCCTGTTTTTAAAGCTTAGTGCAATAACTTTTAACAATCTTGGCTGGTGTCTTACGGTTGTTCACTGCTTTTGTTAACGCTGTTCTGGAGCATGTATTCATTAGTGAGCAATTGATTTTGCTTGTATTTGTCACTATAGTAGTTCTTGATTTCTTCAAAGATGTTCTTGTCTTCATGGGTCACATGCATAGCACATACAAACACTAATAGCATTGTTTTCAAAAATGAAAGCATACTCAGAAATAGAGAGATATGGACTCTTACACTTGTCTTGCCTTTAACTAATTGTTCTTAGCGAAGTTATCAAGTGGAAGCATTGGGAAAGGAATTCAGGGCCACATTCTGTGTTCCTGTGTAGCCTTTGGATAGAGAAAGTAAATTGAATTTTAATCAAGCATTAAGATGCAAAGAGGAGATTCTTTAGTTCTGTGTAGAGTGTGGACATTCTGTTCTTTCATCCCCTCCACAGTGCTCTGAGTTCCTTCTTGTACCACGAATTCAGGAGACCCAACACAGCACAAGCCAGATCAGCTCTCCATCTTTCCATAAAAAGTCAGATGCTGGTGGAATTGCTCAGTAAAAGAACACTTGCCCAGCATATCTGAGTCCACCCACACTTGATGCTCAGTACTGTGGACTGTGGAGAGGGTGGAAGAGAGAGCAGGTGTGGGAAAGAGTCAGGGACAGACACACACACACACACACACACACACACACACACACACACACACACACACACACACACACC